TAGAGACGAGGTCTCACTCTGTTAGCCTGGGCTGGTCTCGAACTCCTGGGCTCAAGCAATCCTCCCACCTCAAACTCCCAAAGTGCTGGAATTACAGGTATGAGCTACTGCACCTGGTAGCCTGAGTTCAAATCCTAGTAAGCTAGAACCCCATGAGACCTTAGGCAAGTCACTGCCATTCTGCGAGCCTCAGTTTCACTTACACAAAATGGGAACATAGTGGTAGGAAGGGCAGCGTCATGGGGGGATGTTTAGGTGCCCTGCAGGGGAGCAACTCACTCAGATCTATTTTAGGAAGATTCCACCAGGTTCGTAGGGAAGGGTTGCTGAGGGGAGGGGGCTGGGGGGGCACGGGGGATGGCCATGGAAGAGGAGGACCCAGAGACCAAGCAGGGTGGTCAGAGAGGCAGGAGGATAACCAGCATTATGCGTTGAAAAGGGACAGATATCGACCTGGGCACAGTGACTCACACCTGTAATCCCAGTACTTTGGGAGGCAGAGCCGGGAGGAACAACTGAGGTCAGGAGTTTGAGTCCAGCCTGGCCAGCATAGTGAAACCCCTCTCTCCTGAAAATACAAAAATTAGCCGGGTGTGGTGGTGCACACCTGTAATCCCAGCTACTGGAGAGGCTGAGGCGGGAGAATGGCTTGAACCCCAGGAGGTGGAGGTTGCAATGAGCCGAGATCCCACCACTGTGCTCCAGCCTGGGTGACAGAGGGAGACTCTGTCTCGAAAAATAAAAAAATAAAAATAACAGACCTCTCCAGGCAGGTGGGGGTCTGGAGTACTGGGAAGGGTCTGTCTGCTGTCCCGGTTCCCCGCTGTGCTCACACATAAAACAAGCTCTCCAGGATCCAGAGAGCCCAGCCTGAGCCTCCCCTCCACCCAGTCTCCGGGGCCACCCAGCCACGCACCTCCTCCCCGGGGCCGCCCAGAAGGGCCTTGGCTCTGGCCATATCCGCAGCCTCCACCTTGATGAGCCGGTGCTTGGGAGAGCCGTACTTGGCATCTCCGGGGTTCTTGGAGTCCCCAGGGCCCGCGGGGTCCGGCTCCAAGCGGCTCTCCGCGTCCTCATAGGGGTCTTCGAAGTCCAGGTTCTTCTGCGCGCGGTAGGCCCTCAGGATGTCGCTCTCGGTGTAGTCTGGGGTGGGCGGCTGCGGAGGGGGCCTCCGACCGCCAAAGCTCAGGTAGTCCCGTAGCCACTTGGCCATTTGGGCGCCTGTCACCCCAATCGGGCCACTGTCAGAGGGGCCCCCACATGCCCTTCTCCAGGCCCCTTTCCTCAGGGAGGAGGAGGAGGAGGAGAGGAAGGGAAGAGCAGGGAAGGAGGAGAAAGATCAGGTGCGCCCTTTGGCGGGGTTCTGGATGGATAGAGGCAAGGAAAAGGTGAACGAGGGGGAGGAAAAGGAGGCGACTGAGGAGGGAGGGAGGACAAGCCCGCTTTAGCTGGGTTTGGGAAGCACCGCAGGGGAAGGGGGCGT